CCAGTAATAAAATTACCATCCAAATCCTAATGAGCACAGCTACTAGTTCCAAACTACCCCTAATATGACTTAATTGTGAGGCCAAAAGCCAGTTTATTAGGGAACTTGAAAACTTGTCACACTGCTTCAGTAAGGACACTGTTCCAAATTAAGATTGAGGTAAATGTCTCTTTGATAGTCCTTTATTCCATATCTTTTTGACTGGTGTCCACTTCAAAATTATATGGAAGAGTTTGAATCAAGCGAGGAGGCCTTGAATATTAATCTTAGGCTTTCTTTCTCATTGCAGTCACAACATAATCTGAAAGTGAATAGCAGATTGGTTTTTGGCACTGCATTTTAACAGAGGAGTCATGCTGGCCTAAGAATTGAAATGCTAGTTTTGAAGATCTGCAGTGAGCTACCTTGAGTATTTCACTTTATTAAGGAATTTAAAATAAACTAGAACTGATGTGGAAGTAAATAACTCCCATCTAATTCTAATCGCAGCAGCAGATAAACCCATGAGGCTAACTCCAATTATGTCAACGAGTTGTCAATTGAATTAAGCTGCATGTGATGCGGGTAATCTAAATCTAAACTTGAATCATGGCTCTGTGCTGTGCCTTTAACCATTCCATTACAGACTCAAACTATTTTATGGAGAGCATTGAGGGCTATGCAAAAATAATCATTAGGTTCAGGATTGCTAAAACAACTTCTGTTGAAGATAGAGAAGGATACACCAATTCGCATAACAAGTTGTATAATCCACGTTTTAAGATAGTGCATGCATTTCAAAATGCACTAATTGTAGGCATTCAGCGTAGATTTGTTAAATGTATGTTGATCTGTCAAATTTAATTAGTTTCTTTTTTAAAAAGAGCTGATAGATTGGTAGATGAAAGGAATGCAGTCTGTGTGCTCTGTGAAGTTCCAGACTGCATTCTCTTGGGCATTCTTAGTCCCAGTTAACATGAGATGAAATATCCTCTTCAGGCCAAGAATGAACATAAAGGAAGGCCCCAGTCGAAGTACATGTGTGCAAGCAAAATCAGGCAGTACGGTGGCTCTGTGGTTAGCATTGCTGCCTCACAGCGGCAGGGACCTGTGTTCGATTCCACCCTCGGATGACTGTCCATTTGGAGTTTGCACGTTCTCCCCATGTCTGCGTGGGCTTCTGCCAGGTTATCCAGTTTCCTCCCACAGTCCAAAGTTGTGCAAGTTTGGTGGATTGGCCATGCTAAATTGCCCAGAGTGTTTAGGGATGTGTGGGTTAAGTGCCTTAGTCATGGGATATACAGGGTAAAGGGATGGTCCGGGTGGGGTGCTGTTCGGAGGGTTGGTGTGACTTGATGAGCCGTAGGGACGTAAGAATTAAGTTGCATAAAGATGGCAGCTTGTGACAGTGCTTGAATCTAATTAGTGAGGGAGTTTTAGGAGTTGATCTGTTTCCAAAATACAGTAAATTTTGCATTTAGTATTAACTTAAACTACAATTTATTGTCATAGTTATTTCAATTTTAGTTAGTGATAAGAAAGATTCCTATCTTGGCACCTGCAGTGTAGTCCATTAGATAACTCATTAGAACTGGTTCCCTAGGCTGCAGCAGCTAATTCACTGGATTCTTGAGTTAGTATAAACATGAGGTTTAGCACGTGCACGAAGTGAGAGACTGTATTGAGACAGCTTTTCAATCTAGAAGTTTGGAAATAAGCGGGATGGGGGGAGGGTTTGGCCTAGTAATGGAACAGGTACTGCTCTTGCCTTTTACAAAAATAATTGGTCCAAAAGAGGGAGCCATTGATGATGAGACCCAAAAGGATTGAAGCCTGGAGGCAGTAATTAGGTATGTGGCTGGGCATTAAGTTTTCTGTTTTTTTCACTCTCTAAACTGGCACTAGGGAAGATAATGAGTGCCTGGTTAGAGAGAGGTGGTCTTTTGGCACAGTGGCTAATGTTCCTGCCTATGAGTTAGAAACTCCTGGTTCAAGTTCCACTCTAGAACTTGATGGTCAATGCAGACTTAGTCATAACACAGCACCTATCAACCTGCAAATCCTTTCAATATGTGCCAAAGGCAAGTGCAAAGAGCAGAAGAGATACAGGGTCAGTTGAGAAATGGAAAAGCTTCTACCATCACTATTCTTAGCTCCAAATTAGCCCATTCATTTAAAAGTGCATGTTGCCATGACAACACTGTCTCTTTTGACTGGAGGTGGACTGCTATTAACTACATGACTGCAATAGTCAGATTGATGCAGAATATGTGGTCTGATCCCTAGTCTGACTGGGTTGACTTCAGGTCCACTCTCCTTGCCCTACCTTTGACGATAGGATTGGAACTGTTTTTTGGAAGAGAAATGAAGATGAACTGGTACATCCCTATAATAGCACAACCTGTTATTGTTGAGTGATATTCTAAACTTGAAATCTAATTAGTTAAATAAAGAACAAAATAAAGATGGCAGGGCAGGTGAAGTGTTGCAGCTGTAGCATGTAGGTGCTGCTAGAAATCTGTGTGATCCATAGAAACCACATCTGCAGTAACTGTCTATAGCTTGGAGAAATTAGGCTTCAAGCTGATGAGTTGGAATCAGCTTTGAACATGATACATCAGGGAGGGGGTAAGTTACTTGAGCATTTATTCCTAAAGGCAGTAATAGCCCTTTGGCGAAGTACTTCAGATTTGTTCCATGGTCATGGACAGGAAGGTGTGGCTGGATGAAAGGCAGGTATAGAGGACTTTAAGGTAGCAATGAACAAATCTCAGTCCTTGAACTGTCCAACAGGTTTGAAATTTTTGCAGTTTGTGTGGGTGAGAGCAGGGTCCAAAGAGAAGGTGACTGAATTCTCCATGGTACCATAGTGTAGGTGGGTATTCAAGTGGGGGAGCTAAAAGAATGGAATTACAGCATGGAAGTATCGTTGGGGAATGGATGCTTTGCTCTGCAGCTGAGGATATGGGTTCAAAAAGCTGTGTTATCTGCCAGATTCCAGCGCTAAGGAGATCACAACTTGGAGTGGGAAAGGAAGGATCCTGTTGTGGTCCACATGGATACCAAACACATAGGTGAGACCAAGAAAGAAGCAGTTTGAACAATTGGGGACTAAATTAAAACGCAGGGCCACAAGGGTAATAATCTCTGAATTACTACCGGACCTATAAGCAAATTGGCATAGGCTAAACAAGATCAAAGCATTTGAATGTACAACCACTGTTCAAGAAAGAGAGGAGGACAGAAAGCAAGGAACTACAAGCTAATTAGTCAAATGTTTGTCATTAGGAAAGTAATCAAATACACTGTTAAGGAGAAAGTTGCAGAATGTTCAGAATACAATCAGGTGGTGTTAATATGGTTTTGTAAATGGAACAGGGTATTTGACATATGTACTTGAGTTCTTTGAGGATATAAAAAGTAGGGTGAATAAATGGGAATCAGTGGATAGAACAGTTTTACCCCTGTAACCAGCGAAGGTGCAACACCTGCCCATTTACCTCCTCCATCCCCAGTATCCGAGGGCCCAAACATACCTTCCAGATGAAGTAACACTTCACCTGCACTTCCCAGAATCTAGTCTACTGCATTTGTTGCTCACAATGTGGTCTCCTCTACACTGGGGAAACAAAGTGTAGACTGGGTGACCGTTTTGCAGGACATTGCAAAAAAGACCCTGAGCAACCTGTTGCCTGCCACATCAACACACCACCCTGCTCCCTGGCCAACATCTTTGTCTCTGGCCTGCTGCAGTGTTCCAGTGAAGCTCAATGCAAGCTGGAGGAACGACACCTCATTTTCCGCTTGGGTACCCTGCAGCCCTCTGGACTCAATATCCAGTTCAATAATTTTAGGGCCTGAACTCTCCCATGTCAGAGTCCCCCACCCCTCACACCAGGCATTGTTACCACAGCCTGCCATTACATACTACCTGTTGTTAGTCACTAACAGTCCCCATTAACAACTATTCACCCTCCCAGCCAGATCGTTATCAACTCCGTTGTCTGTCCAACAGCTCTTCTCTCTCTTTAGGCTCTGTGCTATCGTTTACTCCTTACCCAACCCACTTCCTATTTTCTGCATATAAACTGACGTTTTCCCATCTACCATCAGTTCTGAGGAAGGGTCATTGGACCCAAAACATTAACTCTGATTTTTTTCTCCACAGATGCTGCCAGACCTGATGAGCTTTTCCAGCAACTTCTGTTTTTGTTCCTGATTTACAGCATCTACATTTCTTTCAGTTTTTATTTTGTATTTGATAAGGTCGCTTGCCCCAGTATCGTCACTTTGTCCCAGTCGAACTGATGGCCCTCATTGTCTGTGTGTATCGAGACAAGTGAATATTGATCGTGTCTTTTTACTGCCAGCTGGTGTTTGTGCATCCTGGTCATCAGTTTCGTCATCCATTTGTCCAATGTAACATTTATTGCACTCGCTGCATGGGATTCTGTGTATCACGGTAGTCCTGTTTACTGGCGGTGTGGGGTTTTTAGTCTGATAGCATTTGATGCAGTGTTGATGTATGTTTGTGTGCAATCATGATCTTATGCGATATAAGGTGTGTGGTTGTCATTTCTGATATATTTTTGATGTGGGATAGTGTTACTAGTGTCTTCTGTTGTACCATGTCCTCTGACTGTCGTTTGTTTTGTAGGCATCAGGGGACGAAACTTCTTGTGTATCCATTCTCGGTAAATACTTTGTGCAGGTGTTACTCTTCCATTCTCCACATTTCTGGGATGTTGCAGTGTGGTATAGCTCATTTAAATAGTGTCTTGATGCAGCTCTGTTTGTGTATATTGGGATGGTTGCTATTGAAGTTCAGGATTTGGTCCGTGTGTGTAGCCTTCCTGTATACGTGGATCTGAAATTTGCCGTTAGTTAGTCTGACAATTACGCCACCATACACAAACAGAACCGCATCAAGACACTGTGTAAACGAGCCATATCATACTGCAACACCCTAGAACTCTGGAGAATGGAAGGGGAACCGACAATAGATACCCAAGGAGTCTCGTCTACTGATGCCTACAAAACAAACGACAGTCAGGGGACACAGTACAACGGAAGACACTAGTAATGCTACCGTACATCAAAAATATATCAGAAATGACAACCAGACTCCTTAAACCGCATACGATCATGATTGCACACAAACCTACATCAACACTGCATCAAATGCTATCAAAGACTAAAGACCCCATACAGACAGTAAACAGGACTAACATGATATAAAGAATCCCATGCAGTGAATCCAATAAACATTACATTGGAAAAACGGGGAGGAAACTGACAATCAGGATACACGAACACCAGCTGCCAGTAAAAAGGCATGACCAATATGCACTTGTCTCGACACAGAGACAATGAGGGTCATCATTTCAACTGGGACGAAGTGACTATACTGGGACAAGCGAACAACTGACATGCAAGGGAATTTCTGGAGGCCTGTTTCTCAACACAGGACTCCATTAACAAACACACAGAAATAGACATCGTATACAGACTGCTGCTGGTAAACAGAGCCAGAAGTGACAAGACCCACCACACCAGAGGATTATATAAATTCGGAATGGAGCAGAACACCAACATTTTTGATTAGAGGTCGCACTGATGATGTTGCCTAGAATGGTAACGAAACATCTGCACTTCTCGGAACAGCAGGCTCGGTGAGCTAACAAGCAAGAGATAATGTTTCCTCTGGTGAAAGAATCTATAGGAACAGTTCAAAAATAAATATCCCATTTAAATGGAGATGAGGAGAAATTTCTTCTGAGAGGTGTTGGTCTTTGGAACTGTTCTCTCCCAGGGTTCAGTGGAGGATGGGTCATTGAATATATTCAGGGCTCAGTTAGACATATTTTTTGATTGAAAAGGGAGTCGTGGATTATGGGAGGCAGGCAGGAAAGTAGAATTAAAGCCACAATCAGGTGTTCTAAATGACCTACTCTTATTTCTTATGATCTTATGGAAAAGAAAATGTATTTATGCTCACATCCTTAAGGTATCCTGAAATATTTTACTGACAATGAATTTCTTTCTGAACTGGAAACTGCTATTTTCTGCACAAACATGGCAGCCACTGCAATGTACAGTCAGGTCCCACTAAAGGCAATGAGATAAATGACCAGTTAAACTACTTTAGTGGGGTTTCTTAAAGGTTTTAGTGCTGTCAAGGACAATGGAAAATTTCTAATGCCTTTTAAATGGTGTGACCTAATATGAATTTATGCAGCCTGAAGGGATATCAATTCCTTATGTGACACCTCCAACAATACAGCTGTTAACTTGGATTATATGCTGAAATCCTGGGTTGAAATTTGTATCCATGATCTAATTCAGAGGTGAAAATACTATCATGGTGCCAAGCTGACACTTGCACAGAAGCTTCTAACATGGTTGTAAGGGACAGAAAGAGTTGGGAATAAGCAGAACAATTGTTTTTTCTTCTTCAGAAGCAAAACTATGACCAATCAACTAATGCAATACAGAAAAAGTGATTCTTTCAAATAATTCTGGGCTCATTAATATGTGTAACAAATCAAACTTCGGAATCACTTTACCTGTAAATATACAGAAATGTTTCTGCCCTGCTTGAGTGTTGATCTGCTAACTGGTAACTCGGTGTCAACCATTTGTGGTCCTGAACCAAGTCTCTGAAGCCATCTCTGAGGGCACCTGGGTCATCTGGGCACGTGAAGTCTCTGTAAGAATAGCTGATAACATCTGCAATCTGGGATGGATTGTATCTGTAGGAAATTACATTCAAAGTTATTTTTGTATCTTACTTACTTGGCAACCAGGCAGACTTTCACTTGGCACAGAAACTACACTGTGTTTATGTAATCTTCGGACCTAGAAGCAGAATATAATTATTTGACATCCACTTTTGGTTCTGTGAAATGGTTTTCTAGGAGTTTGTGGAAGAGTGTTGATAGAATTTCCTTAGGCATCCCATGCCACCTTAAGAAACAAAGGCAATTCTTCATCTAGCGATTGGTAATGGCCAATCTTGTTTGTTTAGTACCATCCTGGTAGTCATGTGATTACAATAATAGGCTTGTTGACTATTCATTGTAGTTTATATTTATTAACTAGCTACAACAGATTCAGATATAACTTGAGGAAAATCCTCAGTGGCAAAGAGCTTTGGGGACCACAGATCTGAAATCACCAGTTGCTCCCAAGAATGTTACACTTGTATGTCTTTTTGCAAATCAATTAAACTTTTATTAAAAATGTTATTTTATGAAAGAAACATTGAGAGTTGTTATAGAACCTTCATAGTAACAAAGGAGATGTAATAAACAAACCAATTCCTGTAAATTAAAAAATACTAGCACAAGAAAATGGCCTAAAGAAGCAAAGGGGGGATTTACTTAAGGAGAGGAATGAAGTGAATATGGGTCATACATAGTGGCATTAAGTTGACATAGAATTGGACTTGACTGTGATTCCCTTTTCTACTTTACCTCCACCAATTCCCATCAACTCCACTTATACATCCTACAACACACAGTACCTTTAGCACCCACGTGAAATATGGTCACTTGTTTGTGGTACTGGAACCATAACACAAAAAGTAAAATCTGAATGGAAAGGAAATTAGAGCAAGCAATTACAACAGTAAAAGGACAAAACATGTACATACCGGAAATGACTATAGGCATAGTCCGACACCAGCTTAAGGTAGGTCTCAGTTGTAATTCCATCATCATTACCGAAAAGGTCGACTAGCTGAACCCCTGCCTCATCGTTGGTAAGTCCTATAATATAAGGAACTTTCATATAGTTTCCTTTGAGGAGTGACTCCTGAGGTAGCTCTTGTAAGAAAACTCCATCGACAACAGGAAGGAACTTTGGCCCATGCTTTGACTTGGGCATTGGGGCATCAAAAAATGATTCCATTGGTTTTGTTTGGAGACATTCCACCATCTTCACGTTATTATCGGTTGGACAATCCAGTGCTTTGGCCAGTTGTTGGCTGGCAACAAGAGGGTCAAAGCTACCAGGCTTTCCGATGAAATCTGGCACCAAAGCATTGCCACTACTGGAGATGGCTCTGTGGAAGAGGCCTCTGGATAAAGGCGACAAAAGCAGATAACTCACTGCTAAGCCCCCAGCCCCATATCCAAACAATGTGATGGAGCTAGGATCTCCCCCAAAGTTCTGGATGTTGTGTTGTATCCACTGAAGAGCTTTGGTCATGTCCAAGAAACCAAGATTGCCAGGAGCATTTACATCCAAGGTGCTGAGAAAGCCAAAAGGCCCAAGGCGATAGTTGAACTCCACCACTATAACCTGCAAAATGCAATTAATTGTATCACAGCATTCTCCCTTCTGATCATATCCACATATAACAGGCATTAGTAGCAACATCAACATTGAAAAGATGTTCCGAGGTGATTAAATAAGGGGGAAATTCATAAAAAATATCTTGCTACTAATTCTAATACCAACCTCTTATGAAAGATTTCTAAAGAATTTGTTTCGTTATGAATTATATTTATCTTAATGTTTAATATGTTTTATCTTATTTTGGACTGAATCTCAACCAGGCTTTCTACACTCACCAGAAAGGAAATCTGGCTATTGAGTATGAAGTCTGAAGTAACTTCAAGTATGTTTTCCTTTTCTCTTAAAACAAAATAAAACAAAAGCTGATCACAGATTTCCTAAGTAGATAACTGCTTAGACAGAATCGAGTGAGACTTCAGTCCAATGGTAGCATTCCTTCCTCTGAGTTAGAAGATGCAGTAGGTATTCACATGTTACTCCAGACAGTTTCAGTGAAAGGAGACTAGAGCGCTAGCTCTGAATTCAGTGCTGGCATCTAGAGGGATTCTTGTGTATGGTGGATGTGTCCACTGTCCACATGAATTGTGGCACGGTGGCTCAGTGTTTAGCACTGCTGGCTTGCGGCGCCCAGGTTCGATTCTAGCCATGGGTGTCCGTGTGTTTGGAGTTTGTATGTTCTCCCCGTGTCTGCATGGGTTTCCTCTGGGTGCTCCAGTTTCCTCCCACAGTCCAAACATACACAGGTTAGGTAGATTGGCCGTGCTAAATTGGCCATAGTGCCTAGGGGTGTGTAAGTTTAGGTAGATTAGGCACAGAAAATGCAGAGTTAGAGATATTGGGCAGGGGGTGGGTCTGGGTGAGATGCTCTTCGAAGGATAAGTGTGGACTCGACGGACTAAATGGCCTGCTTCTGCACTGTATGGGTTCTATGAATGGATTGAGGGGGCATAAATGTAACCCACCATCACTCCAGTCTCCATTGTATATGATAAGGCACTTAATTCAATTTGCTGGTTAAAAAGCTGGTCCTGGCCATGGAAAAGCATTTGCATTGTATCCTGTTAATAAATCTGCAAATACATCACAGCGTGCTCCAATGGTAAAATGTGAAAATACCGGAATAGTTACAACCTTCAGTAAGAGATGGACATCATCTGTAATCTCTTTTTACCTGTCCATATGCTGCAAGATTCTTCATGTCATGTGCCCCAGCTGCCCCAGACTGGAGGGAACCATGGTGAAAGTAAACCATAATGGGCAGAGATCGAGGACTGTTGCCTGTCTGTCATGAAAATAAATTAATACTGTCAAAATTGAGTTGTAAGCAAATATCTAGGTACTTTCTACGTGAACAATACTACCCACTGACAATCCATTATAAGTAACAAATAATTTACATTTTGACTTTAAAATTTCTTAAAGGGCTTGCTTGAAAACAATAACCATAAAATGCGGACTATTGAATTTAATAAGAGATAGTAAGAACTGCCGATGCTGGAGTCAGAGATAACACAGTGTGGAGTTGGAGGAACACAGCAGGCCAGGCAGCATCAGAGGAGCAGGAAAGCTGACGTTTCGGGTTGGGACTCTTCTTCAGGGAGTTCCTGAAGAGGTGGTGGAACCAGGGAATTGGATAAATACCTGGGAAGGTAAAATAGAATATTGTAAATTATAGGGACAGCACAGGGAACATGGAACTAACTGTACAGCTCTTCCAAAGAGTCAGCAGCAGCATGATTGATCAAATGGCCTCTTCTGCGACAAATCACTCAACATACAAGAAGTAGGAGTAGGCCATTTGGCCCCTAATCCTGCTTTGCCATTTAATAAGATAATGGTTGATCTGAATATAACAACAAATCCACAATCCGACAAATCAGATAGACAAATGATCATTTAAAGCTTTGCCAAGATGGAACAAGCACTGAACTATACCAAATCCTAAGTCTTATTTGTTTATTGCAGGTTAATTCATTTTTTTTTGTTATTCCATTTTATCCAAAATGCAGATCAAAACTGACTGAGAGATAGTAAGAACTGCCGATGCTGGAGTTAGAGATAAACTTCAATTTTCCTGCTCCTCTGATGCTGCCTGGCCTGCTGTGTTCATCCAGCTCCACCCTGTGTTATCTCAAAACTGACTGAAATATTTTCGATTGGAAATCTGTAATCCCCATGATTAGTCAGTGGCAGGAAGAGCAGGAAGACGCAGAGGGACAAGAGAAGGCCATTCAGCCCCTCCCACCCATTCAAGTAGATTGTGGCTGATCTGGTATCTTAATTCAATCAGGGTGTCATTAAATTTCTATAAACTTATGAACTTCTTTTTCTGCAAATGGGACTTCATGGGTTCATTGCATAGGAATATGCTGAGAACTGGAACACCTTTCATATCTTCAGGTAACAGAATCCAAAGCTTTCTGGTGGGGACCAGGCCGAATGCTTCTTTAATCTGCTTCAGTGGTGTATAAATAGCATTAGCAACTTCTGGGTTGTTGGAAAAGTCAAGAACTGGACACCATATTAGCACAAACTAGTAACTTTTATTAAATCTTAATACTATATATAGAGGCATGATTGAGCAGGACTGCATTGGAATTTACTTCTATCAGGCCTCTTTCCATGTGATCTCATATCATCTGACATTGCTGATGTCCAGTTAATAGCTAATGTCTATTAAACCAATATACAAGTAATGTGGTTTATCTACATCTCCATAAATCTGCATTGGGTTAGCTATATTTCAGGACACCAGAAAAGACTGAATAATAAAAACTCTGGCATGTTATTTCACTTTATCTACAACAGGAAAACACAGCTGCTCCTGAAATCTAATAAATTCAAAACTAAACTGTGGAAAGAATACCTGGAATTCTGCAGGACCTTTGGCTATGGGTTTAGAGGCAGAAAAGTTGGAACAATGGCGAGGAAACCCAACAGACAAAGTACCCATGCCTTACCATTATGTTAGGGGTAGGAAAGGTGGTAGATGATCCCTCCACACAGAGCCCAATGTAACCAGTTAAGATGGAGCCTCTTTGTGGTTCTGCTGGCATTTTACAAGCAGCAGGGTACTTTTTTGCCTGGTGTGGTTACCAACCAGCCTCCTTTATGGGCTCTCTTGAGACTACATATTGAAGCATCTGGGCAGCAAAGGTTAACCCCATTGCATTAGGTCTGCTTGCCCTCATCAACCTACCTTCCACTTCATCAGGGTCTGCCTGACTGACCCAAATGCCATGACTTTGTCCTTTATATTCAACCCTGGCAGTGGTTACCAATCATGGAGGAACTGCTGATCTGTCAGCCTACCAATCTGGCCAGCAGTTTTTGGATCAGGCCCCTGATTTTATTTGAATGGCAGTCTGGGATGTCACTGTAAAATGGCACCCTCAAGACTCACTGCCAGGCGAAGCAGGTTTGCTCCTCTGACTTCCTAAGCATTTGGCCCCTGAAAAGTCCTGGCTCATATTTCAACGAGTGAATGGAACAATATCCCAAGACGGATTACTTTCCAGATGTTATATTTTGTGATATGGCCTCTGAATTTTAGACATGACATTTGGTAAGTGCAGCTGTTTGAGAGACATCAATAACTTTGGCTATATGATTCCCAAAGCTCTCTACAATCAGGACATTCTCGCATCATGAATGAGTTTGTTGTTGTCCAATTGATAGAGATTATTTGCCGTGATTAGTGAACTATGCAGCTCCTAGTCTTTTAATAGCACTTTTCTCTTGGCTTTACAACAGTACCTCTCTGGCAAACTAAAGTCTGGGAGCTGTTGAAAGACAAGAGGGATAAACAACAGCTGCAAAGACTAGCTTCATGGCAGGTTGATCCATTTTGTTTTTTTAACCTTTTAACACAGGTTTTCTAATCTTGGTACTTATCATTGGCGGAAAAGGCCCAGCTGAGGCTCAATGCCTGCCCAAAACGGAAGAGGCCAAGACAAATGGACGGCAAGTCATGAAAGACATTAACCTGGATCTCACTCTCTCCCATTCCTCTCTTCAACTGAGTATAGATGACTAGGGATGATCTGAATGTGACATTTTAAATGTTAATAGGATTTGATAGGATAAATACTGGAAATCTATTTCCTCAGATAGAAGGACAAGATCAAGGGGCTGTAACCTTGAAATTAGAACAAGGCCATTCAGAAGGAAAATAGGGGAAAAAAGGCTGTGGATGCTGGGCCTCAATTGTAGCTTTCAAGATCGAGGTATATAGTTTTGTTTTGGTCAACAGATCAAGGGACGATGAAACAAATGTCAGAAAAAATAATTTCAGGCGCATATCATTCATGGTCTTACTGAATTGCCAAACATATTCATGTCATCTGAATAGTCTACACCTTTTCCTATGTTCCTACCTCTCATTATTGAGCTCCCTTTGTGACTCCCTTGAGGGACTCTGTTTTTTTCTGTCATGGAATATTTGTCTTGCAGTGTGACAGAAATACAAAGATAAATAAGAACCAATTGCACTATAAAGTTCTCTTTCATTCCCCATTATTTTTCAGCTCATTTCTACTGCCTTGCAAACATTTAACGGTATAGGTTCAAATAGCATGGCAGTGCAGCTTCGTTTATGGCAAGGGGGTTAGTAAATTATAAACTCAATGAATACTGCGTTTCACCAGTAAAAGACTACCAGAACTAGAAGAAAACATAACAGAAAGTGTTTTTATAAAAAGCATTAAGATTCCAACGCTTACAAAATTCCGGGGAAAATGTCTTGCACTTATAGAATGTTGATCTCTACCATAGATTATCCCATAGCACTGTACAGTCACTGAAGTATCTTTACAGTGTAGTCACTGCTGAGTAGAAAACATAGAAGCCAATTATTGCAGACCAAAACCCCATAAACAGTAATGTAATAATGACCAGACAATCTGTTCTTTCTGAGAAGTAGTTAAAGGATAATTATTGGCCAGGGCACCAGGATAAATCCCCTTTCCTACTTCAAAGTAATGCCCCTAGGATCATTTCTATCCAACTAAGATGGCAGGCAGAGTCTCGGCTTGATATCTCATACAACAGACAACACCTTCAACAATACAATGGTGATGGAGTGTCAGCCTTGATTTTGTGCTCAACTACTTAGTGTTCGACTCGAACCCCTGTCATCTGTCATCAATGAAGTGATTGCTGCCACTGAACTATACCTTTAATATGCTGTAAGAATGGATATGCAGGCTTTCACGATGGTTTCGCATGATCTTCATTTGGGCCAATAAGACCAGCATGAGCTGAGATTTATTCGTGAATACTCACACTTTTATCTTCCTGGAAATATTAGGCAATAAACAATTTTTGTAAAGTTCAGTGTGGACAGGATTCATAACATTAATAAGCCATATCCTACCCCGACTGGTGCGTAGACATTGAGGTAGAGGCAATCTTCACTTGTGCGGTTGATTTTGAAAGGTAACTCAGTCGGAGACTGCGGACAGGCAGGTCCCAACTCTGTAGCATCCAAAATCCCACTCCATGGTCTTGGTTCCTCAGGGGGCTGGCAATGAGACACCACAATGAAAGGGAGAAATCCCATAAGCAAGTTTCATTCATTGTTCCTACCTGATGTAGGATTGCATACAGACTTACAATAAGGTGACTTTTAAGGAGGACATGGGGTCAGGTAAGAGAGCAATGGAATAGTTGAGTATGGAATTATAAGGACTAGATGACCAAAAACTTAGTGAAAAAGGTAGGATTTAAGGAGCATCTCAAGAGGACAGAGAAGTAGAAAGAGATAGCAAGAATTGCAAATGCTGGAGTCAGAGTCAATACAGTATGGAGCTGGAGGAACACAGCAGGTCAGGCAGCATCAGAGAAGCAGGAAAGTCGACATTTCAGGTTGGGATTCTTCATCAGGACTGGGGAGGGGGAAGGGAGCTGGGAAATAAATAGAGAGAGGAGGGGTGGGACTGAGGGAAGGTAGGTAAGATGATGTTAGGTGGATGTAAGTAGGGCATGATGGGGATTGGTCAGTGGGAAGGGTGGAGCAGATAGGTGGGAAAGAAGATGGATAGGTAGTGTCAAGTCAAGGAGGCGGGGATTAGATGAAGGGTTGAACATGGAATGAGGCTGGGGGTGGGGAGATTTTGACACTTGTGAATTCTATGTCGAGGCTACCGGGCTGTAGGCTCCAGAGGCGGAATATGAAATGTTGTTCCTCCAGTTTGTGTGTGGTGTCATCATGACATTGAAAGAGACCCAGGACGAACATGTCACCCAGGGAGTGGGAGGGGGAGTTAAAATAGTTGGCAACAGGAAAATGTTGTTGATTATCGGGTACAGAGTGCAGATGCTCTGCGAATCAGTCCCTGAGCCTGAGCCCGAGCCTGAGCCTGAGCCTGAGCCTGAGCCTGAGCTTGGTCTCACCGATGTATAGGAGACCAACATCAGGAGCAACGGATACAGTAGACCAGGTTGGAGGATGTACAGGTGAATTTCTGTTGGATTTGGAAAGTTTTTCTTGGGCCTTGGATGGAGGTGAGAGGGAGGTGTAGGGGCAGGTGTAGCACCTCCTGAAGTTGCAGGAAAAGGTGCCGGTGTGGTGGGGTTGGTGGGGAGTGTGGAGCGGATGAGGGAGTCATGGAGTGAGCGGTCCCTATGAGAGGCAGATAGGGATAGGTAGGGAAATATCTCTTTGATGATGGGGTCAGATTGCAGGTGGCAGAAGCGGCGGAGGATGATGTTCTGGATGCAGAGGTTGGTGGGGTGGTGTGTGAAGGTTCAGGGAAGAAATGCCAGTGCTTTGGGTCTGGGCAGCAGAAGACAATATTGCCAATGGTGGGGTGACGGAGATCAGGGTTGTACAAAAGATTAAATATGGAGGAGCACAATGATCTCAGAAAGTGGTAGGGCTAGAAAAGATTACAAATAAGCCAGGTGAAGCCAAGGAGAGATTTGGAAATATGGGTGAAATTTTAAATATTGAGGCATTTCCAGATTAAGAGTCAGTATGGGTCAGCAAGCCATGGATGAATGCAAATCGGAGTGAGCCAAGGCAGAGAGCACCAGGCTAGATAAGTTGAAGTTTCCGATGGGTGGAAAGTGTGAGGCTTGCAGAGGGGCATCAGGATAATCCCTTCTAGAGGTAACAATACATGTATAAAGGTTTCCGTGGAAGATAGCATGAGGCAGAGATCGAATCACCTGATTTCACAGGATCCCCACAGTGTGGAAGCAGGCTATTTGGCCCATTGAATCCACACCGAACCTCCAAAGTCCATCCCGCTCAGAAACCCCTCCCCACCCTATCCCTGTAGCCCTGCATTTCCCATAACCGATCCACCAGCCTGAACATCCTTGGACACTATGGGCAATTTAGCATGGCCAAAATACCTAACCTGCACATCTTTGGACTGTGGGATGAAACTAGAGCACCCACGGGAAACCCACGCAGACATGGGGGGAATGACATTAAACAAGTGGAAATAGGCAATCGGAAATAACCTTCATTACAACTGTTCAAGCTAAAATTAAACATATCTCACTTTTTCTCCTCAGGTGCTGCCTGACCTGCTGCCTATTTCCAGCATGTTCTGTTAATATTTTAAATTTCAGCGTCCATGTTGCTTTGCTTTTGCATTGTGTGTGTTTAGGGATATGTTGGGCTTGGACGGAGTTCAATGGATTATAAGAAAGTTACCTGGAGTCCACAGGGTAAAATTATGAAGAGAACTCACACAACCGGCAAGTATTCCCTGGAATTTAGAAGGCTGCGGCATATTTATTTGAAGTTTTCAAGACGTTAAAAAGTAGATCACCCCAGGACCTCCCTAGAGTAGATCACCAAATGCTATTCCACTAGTTGGAAAGTCTAGGTACATTGGGCGTTGCCTATATATTAAAACTAGACCTTCCTTGAGTGAAATGAGGAAAAGTGTCTATGCACATAAGGTGCCGGAAATTAAAAGATTTCGAGAAGATTTGTAGCTCAGGTTGTGAGTGAGGTTGTAGACATGCTCACCGTAGTGGGTTTGGTTGCTAATGTTTCATCTCCCTGCTAGGTAACATCGTTTGTGTGCCTCCGGTAAAGCTTTGGTGTTCTGTCCCGCTTACTATTTATATGCCTCAGTTTGCAGGGGTGGTTGGTACCACTTCTGGTTCTGTTTTTCAGTGGTTTGTACACAGGGTCTAATTCTATGTTTTTGTTGGTGGAGTTGATGGATTCACTACACACGGACAAACAGGGGCACGAATTCGACTGGGACAACACATCCATAATTGCACAAGCCAAATAGAGCCATGCCAGGGAATTCCTGGAGGCCTGGCATTCCAACAGGAACTCCATCAACAAACACATTGAATTAGACCCTGTTATCAAACAACCGAGAAACAGAAAGTGGTACCAAACACCCCAGCAGAGTGAGGCATATAAATAACAAGTGGGACAAAATACTGACGTTTCACTAGAGGCGCACTGACGATGTTACCTAGCAGGGTGATGAAATGTTTGCAACCAAACCCACCGGCTCAGCAAGCACGTCTACAACATCATGCTGGAAATTTGGAACTGTCTTTCAGAAACAGCAATTGTTGCTTGATCAACTGTTAATTTTAAATCTGAAGTTAGTTAACAAAAATCTATCAAAGAATTAAAGCTGCAGATGAACCATGGTATTACTGAATGGAGGAACAGGTTTCAGGGGCTCAGCACCTGTTCTTATGTTCTTCTGGAGCAGACATTATTCCAATGTAATATGGGAGTTCCTTACTGGGACCCTATAGAATTCCATTCTGAAATAATTACCCTGGGAAATTGAATGTTTCGCTGGGCATTTCCTTTGCTCCAAAGACCCCCAAAGTCTCCATTTAAATCAGAGGGCTCCAACTGAAATAGCTACTCAGGAAAAGTTAGGCATTTATTACATAGTCTAACTCCTGTGTAACTATTTAACAGACCTTATGGTTATCTCACACATCCTAACCACACATCCCCTGACAATTTACACTGTGACCCCACTCCCAACCCTGGCCTGACACTCCCAGGCCCCAGGACATCTGCCCCAGGACCTCCCTACCTGTAGCCTGACTCCTGCCCACCAGCCAATGCCCTAGGACCTGATAACCCCATATGGGTACCTGACACCCAACCCTCTTCACCAGACTCACCATCAGACTCAACCTGACCGACTCTTGTCCTGATGCCTCAGCCATGGGACCAACCATTCATTCCCCCCTCCTCTGGAGGCCTGGACCCAGGGAGTCTTGTTGGGCATGGATCTAAATGTTTCGTCTAAATGTTTCTATTAGAATATTCTATTAGAATAGCTGGGGAGAGGCATAGAATTGGCAACAAGGATACGGAAATTTTGGCAGATGCATCACATGATAGAAATGGGGTATTCTCCTTATGGGTCTGTGATATTCCTGCCTGATTTTCATGCATTTCTTACCTCCCAGTAGACTTTTGAAATAAAGACTTGTTGTACGTCTCTTTCTTTAGACCCTGAACATTGTAAAACAACTTAAGGCAGCACAGTTTCCAGAAGACGTAAGGAAGAGGAAGGTTATGTTGGATTATGTACTTTGAACTTATAGGGAATAAGATAGGAAAGCGCCGAATAAAACTAACCTTTGATAGATCACTGAAGAAAGATAAAAATAAATTAATTAAACAGCGACATAGTTGACAATAAGACTCAAATTTGAAACAGGCTGTGCAGTTATATTTTTAAGAGACTCAGAAGCAGAATGTCAATTGTTTCTCGACATGTTGTCACAAGAGTGCAACACTCTTGGGTTATTTATTTATTTTCAGGTATTTCCCTTCTATTTGTTTCTATAGAAAAACATTTGCCCATTTCTCTGCTGTAAATCTTTTCAGGTCAACTGATTTTTGCCAGTGTTTATGCTCTACATCAGTTTCCCCCAGACTGCTTTATCTAACCCAATGGCATATTGTTCTATTCCTTTGTCACTCATGTAGTTATTTAGCTTCCCTTTACATGAATTAGCACTGTTTACCTGAACTATTCCATGGGATGCTGAATTCCATATTGAAATGACTCTCAAGAAAAACTTTTAAATCCCTATAGTGTGGAAATAGGCCATTCAGCCCATCAAATTCCTCCAAAGAGCATTCCACCCACCCTATCCTTGTAACCCTGCATTTCCAATGCTAATCCATCTAATTTGCACATCCCTGGACACTCTGGGTAATTTAGCATAGCTAATCCACCTAACCTGCACATCTTCAGACTGTGGGAGGAAACTAGACCACCTGGAGGAAACTCACACCAACTCAGCAAAAACGTGTAAACTCCACACAGTCACCCAATGCTGGAATTGAACTGGAGTCCCTAGCGCTGTGAGGCACCATGCTGCCCTCTGTTCTGCATAATGTTTATGGCACCTTGCTTCTCCTTATGTCTAGCAGAGAGTAAACCAAGAAACCCATTTATTAGACTGTTATTGATCATTTGAAGACCACTCCTTGCAAAAATGTTTGCACACTGACAAGAATGGTTTTCTCTCTTTGCCTGTGGAAAAGCACCTAATACGTATTTTGCTCCATATTGGCACAAGGAATCACTTATTTGAAGTGGGAATCCAGATTACTCAGATCTGCTCTGGCTGTGATTCCTATAGGAAAGGCAAGAAACCTGAAGGGACCATTTCAGAATGGCTCAGCAGGGAAGGCAGCGGTCAGTTCCGAGACTTACTTTGAATCGAAGATCTCCGACCGGTGGGGATGCGTAAGGAATTTTCAAAAAAACCTGCAGGTATCCTCCTAAGAAATCTTGAACATTGTAACCTTGAGAAAGAAATGGAGAGAGGTTCATGATTAGGTGCATAATAAGAACCAGAGTGCGTACGTTGTTGGATCAGCCTAGCCCATGTATGCAGAAGTCTCTGTGGGCTGAAAATCAGTCTGTTTGACTCCATGAAGACGCATGGCAGAAACACACGATTCTGAATACATGTCATGTTCCAATTGAGGGACAGCCAACAACAACTCACTGGGCGATGTAATGGAAGTTTTCCAAACTATAGGTGTTAACTTTAGCTCATTGGATCGCACTTTCATCTCAGTCAAAACGTTATAACGAATGCTGCACTGTAAAGAATTGAGCCCATGTTCTAGGCTGACGCCTAGAAGGTCTGAAGAAATTTTGAAGAAGCAAGAAATATTTTTAAAGGACTAAGGGAGTGTGCAGCTGCAGGCATCATCTATTTTTTTGCAGTTCCCTGCTTCTGGCAAAACCTGCAAACATATCCTGTACAGATGCAACATTAATATTAAAATGAACTCAAACACTGTATTATTGATTTGACAGTGGATGTAGAATCTTTTAATATTTTTAAGGCAGAGGTAGATAGATTCTTGATTACCAAGGCGGATAAGAGATTATTAGGGATTTGCAGGAATGTAGAGTTGAGCTAACATCTGATCAGCCACGTCTTATCAAATGATGGAACAGGCTCAAAGGCCAAGTGTTCCTTGTTTGTATGTAACACTTAGATGGATATCAGTTTTTGATATGTGAGCATTTATGCTTCATTTAATAGGTATGCCTTGAATATGGATGAAATACTGGCACTGTGAGATGTTTATCGCAATAGGAAATAGTGGATGTGGGTACAATTACAATGTTTAAAAGACATTTGGATAAGTACATGAATAGGAAATGTTTGGAGGGATATGGGCCAGGAGCAGACAGGTGGGACTAGTTTAATTTGGAATTATGTTCAGCATGGTCTGGTTGGACCGAAGGGTCTATTTCTGTGCTGTCAGACTCTATGAGATAGCAGTTTTATCCTGCGGATTCTGAGTTTTGTCCTGCACCTTTGGTTTCAAACTTTTCAGATCTATTTTGCATGAAAATAAATTATAAAATTGTAGAATTTTCAAGAAAGAAGGAACTTTTATGCCCCCTTTAATGGCCTTTACATCACACATTCTTTACCAGCAATGAAGTACTGTTCTTTTATAGGAAATATAGCAGCCTATTTGTACATTGCAAGTTCCTAAAAGCAGCACTGAGATATTACCCAGATAATATGATTTTGTGATTCTTGCATATTAAATTTTGGGCAGGGAGAACTTTTTTTTTCATGGAATATCTTACATCTACCCTAGAGTTCAGATTGGAACCTCGAATTAATCTCTCATCTGAAAGATCGTATGTCGGGTAATGTGGCACTTCCACAGTGGTGCACTGGAGTGCCAGCCTGGATTATGTGTTAATTTCTCTAAAATGGGACCGAAATCTATGCACTGGAAGCATTTAGTAATTTATACAATTTTAAATACAAAATCTTTTCAGCTATTCTCAATTGAAGGGATTAATATTTCAGAAAGCCTAATTATTTCAGAAACAGACAAACCATTGTATACCAACTCGGAAAGAGAAAAATGAACCAGGTCACAAAAACATGCTTTGATTTGCCGAGGCAAGATCCTTAGACAGAGAGTGATGCTCTAATAGTAGCATCAGTCACAGCCTAGAGAGTGTGTCCTACTTTTGAAAACTACCTTTTAACTAATTGGTGTTTAACACAACGTCTTATATGAGAAGAATTCAATCACTGATAATAAACAAATATCTTTTAGACCGGTTTGAAAGGCAACATTAACAAGTTTCACTTTTTGAGCAATTTAAAACATAGTAGCAACAAACTGAAAATATGCCTGGCCAGTTCTAGAATTTTCTTTACATATTCTGCCTTGAGCCTACTCTGGCAGAGTTTATTTTGTTTGGACTAGAATTAGTATGGACTTCTGAAATATTCCTGCCAGTTTGTCTGCTGGCCTTTTATCTAGCTGGCTATCATTCAAAGCCTTACCTCAGTCAGTCGACGAGTAAACCTATCTGAACAGACATTTATTTTTGTCTCAGTCTCAGCGGCTGCAAGGCAGGAAACCACTCATCCCTGCCAGTCCAAAGGAAGGCCACAGTCTTCGATTTTTTCAGCTTTCTTTATCTAAAGAGTATTCCATTTAGCTGATGTGCTCATCCCAATGGATCCACAAGGAGTTCAAATTTGTACGGTGTTGGGGGAAGACTTGCATTTATGTAGCACCTGTCATGGCCTCAGGATGCCCCTCAGCTGTTGACAGCTTATGAAACATTTTTGGACCATAGTCACTGCTGTAATTTGGGAATCATGGCAGTCAGTTTGTGCACAGTAAGATCCCAAATATGACTGTGTTGAAATGATCAGACAATTTGTTCATTGAGAGGTTTATTGTTGGCTAGGACATAAGGGGAAAACTCCCCTGAATGATTACCATGGAATCTTTTACGTCCGCTAGAAATACCAACCAGGACCTCAGTTTAATATCTACCCCAAAGAGAGCATCACAGTACTGCAGCTTTCCCTGAAAACTGCACTCAGGTGATTTCTTGCATTATGAGCTCAAGACTGCGGAAAGGAATTTAAACCATGCTCATTTGCCTGCTGTTTAGTGCTTCTGGCAGATGGAATGCCCATGAGAACATAAGCAGCTCCTTTCGTATTTCCCCCTACATTCGGTATTTTCTGCTGTTAATTAACTTAAGCTGTTATCCTCTACCTTCCTTCCAGTTTCTCCTGTTTCCTTCGGCGTTCCTGATTTCCTTCGCTTTATCATTGGTGGCCATGCTTTGAGCTATTAAAGTGCTAAACTCTGGAGTTTCCTCTTAAAATTCTTTTCTTCTCTGGCTCTCTTTGCCTCTCTGGTTCTGTCTCCTCCTTTAAGATGTTCCTAAAACCTTTGTCTTCGATCAAGCTTTCAGTTGCCTGCCCTAGGGTCTTCATGGTATCATTTTTTTGTTGGGTTATGCTCCTGGGAAGTGCCTTGTAATGTTTGCTACATGGTAGGTCCTATATAAAAGCAACTTTTTTTGTTGTAGTTGGTTCCGCAAAGCTCTGGTCATTCAATAAGTTAACAATTCTGAGCCAAAAAAGTGAGCATTGAAAAACTCCTTTGATCACAGTGAAACAGGGAGCACATCTAATTCTGTTTTGAGTTGATATCTCCTCACATATCTGACAGCAGGGGTGGTCAGCGAGTGGAAGCTGGAATTATTAATGAATTCTTCTGCCTGAATAATACTAGGCACTGACGTCATATGCAGTGCAGTCTCAAACTATGGGCTCTTGGCCTTTACAACTCACTGGCATTCTGCATGTTTCAATTGGCCACAAAACCTCCAATGGAGCTCAACATTTGTACCTCTGTCTCTCTCTCTCTCTCTCAATTTGTGAATGAACAAAGTCAAGATAATTTAATTTTCCTCATTCCATACTACTGTCAGGAGACAGTTTTAATCACTGTTCAACTGTTATTTGAAGATAGTGTTTTGGTTAACCATTGATGCTTGCTTTGCAGGTCAAGCTTCTTATTTTTTATTTGCCTCCTCTTTAGTCATCCATCATGTAGCATTCTTTGCTAAAGAGAGGGGGCAAGGAATAGAATAAAACAAAGAATTGAAGATGCTAGATATCTGAAACTAAAACAGAAATTGCTGGAGAAACTCCACAGGTCTGGCAGCATTTGTAGACATAAAAAAGAGTTACCATTTTGTGGTCAGTTCAGAAGAAGGGTCACTAGACTCGAAACGACAACTCTGTTTTCTGTCCACAGATGCTGCCAGACCTGCTGAGATTCTCCAGCAATTTCTGTCTTTGAGACAAAAATGTACCTTGTTCTTTGTCTCTTTCCCCACCTCCCCCCACCCCACAGCTCCAAAATAGTCCTAAACTATTCCAGATTCCACAAAATAATTAAGTGCCGATGTTTGTGATTGTTGCTTTAGTTATTATAATGAAATGTGGCTACAATGATTCATTTTGATAGCCACAAAGAGACTCGTGACCTTGGTGCTAAACTAAAAGTGGAATTGTGATATGTGGAGTGGAAGTCGGATACCTCAAAGGATATAAACATATACAACTAACAATAAACCAAAATGTTTTATCAGCTTCAGTCTTTTCATATTTAATTTGAATATGACCTTAAAAGAATCAGCCCCTCTCCCTGCATGTTTAAGAGATAATTAGCACATCATTGCTGGTTTAAGTTGCATCAGGGACTCTGAATAATTAACTGGATCCACTTCCTCTGATGATTCTTTGCTACTTTAGTTTCATTCCCAGTTCCTTCCCCATATGAAGCAATCCAAGAAGAATTTGCTTTTATATCAGCGTCTAAACATGTGCAATTGTGTTACTGTGGGAACTTATACTGAATCTCCAGCCACAGCAAGTACCAAATGCAGCTTTCCTCCCCTGTGCAGACTAGTAGTTTCCAAATCAGAGGTCATGGGTCTAAGTCCACTTCAGACACTTGAGTATGCAATCTCGGGTGACACTTCAATGCAGTACTGAAACAGTCCTGCACCATCAGAAGTACTATATTTCTGAAGAAGTTAAATAAGACCATAAGAAATAGGAGCAGCAATCGGCTGTTCAGCCTCTTGAGCCTGCTCGTCCATTCAATAGAATCATGGCTAACCCAACTTTGCCTGCGAGTAGCTGTAAAAGATCCCACAGCATTATTTGAAGTTGTTAGACAGCAACCACTGGACAGCATCCACCCAGAAACCAATATCTTAAAACAGATGAGCTGTTCATTGATTTGTGGGATCTTGCTGTGTGTAGATCAGCTGCTGTTTTCTTGTTTTGATCTAACAGTGATGACTGTAAAATATCTTGGGCCACTCTTGGATCATTGATAGTGCTATATAAATGCAAGTGTCCCTCTGCCTTATTACATTGAGGCTATTTCGGCTACACAATGCTCATCATTCACAAATTATAAAAACGTGGCAACCAATTTTCACATACCAAGATTTTGTTAAGAGCAATGGAATCATTAACAGATAATCTGTTTGATAATGACAGTTGGGGGATGAATATTGGCTGCGATACCAGGAAGAAGACCAGAGTAGATACGGAGACATATTCCCACTTATGGAAGGGTCAAAAATGAGAGGGCATAGATTTAACTTAAGCTGCAAAAATAATTTGAGAGAAAGTTTTTTTCCAAGAATGAGTACTGGCTGCCTGGAATGCAGTGCCATGTAATGTAGAAACCTAGAAATCTGGAGCAGGAGTGGACCATTCAGCCCTTCAAGCCTGTTCTGCCATTCAATATGATCATGACTGATCATCCATCTCAGAACCCTGTTTTCAGTTTCTCCCCACACCTTTGATCGCCTTTAGCCCTAAGAACTGATAGAGTTGGTTACAGGTAAGATGGCGGTGGATTAGGGCTTCTGAGCCTGGGGCTCATCCGCTCCGTCTGCTTTTCTTTTCATTTCTTTTTTTTCCCTCTCTTTTCCCTCGTTTATTTCCTGTCTTTTATTTGATTTTACTTACCTCTTGGTGAAGAGTTTGATCGCTGTAATGGCATCGGCGGCAGCGAGTGGGTCAGCAGCATGAACTCGAGTGGGCCCAACAGTACTGACTCGTGACTGTGGCATTGGAGGTGAGTTTGGGTTCCTGGCAGCGTCTGTGTCCAGCACAGATTCAAGGAGGCAGAGGCGGAGGCAGGTTTGGGCCCAGTACGAGGCACGGTGGCATCAGCAGTGGCTGCATTGGCGGGGTGGGCCCAACGTAGGCCGTTGGTGGTGGCGGAGTTGAGTTTGGGCCAGTGCGGTACCTGGTGGCATCAGTGGCGTTTGCATTGATGAGGCCCGGTGAAGGGGGCATCAATCGAGCCGAAATGGTGTCAAAGAATGGTACCTGATATTCCAGCAGTGACGGCACAGTGAAGGAGACTCGTGCCTGGCCACCAGAACATGACCCATGATGGAGCACTTAACGAGAAGGACTGTAACGTGGGATATTTCCTTTATTTCTTCATTTTTCTGCCTTTATATTCTATGTTTTGGTTTATTTTTTCTGTGTTTTAAGATGGCACCAGAAAGTGATGACACTATACAACCCTTTTCACTGTATTTTGTAACAAAATACAAATGACAATAAATAAATTAAAAATATCTGACTCCTTCTTGAAAACATTCAATGTTTTGGTCTCAATCGCTTCCTGTGGCGTAGAATTCCACAAGCTCACCACTCTCTGGATGAAGAAACTTTTCATCCTAAATGGCCCAATGTCCTTTGACTATGACCTCTGTTTCTGGACTCCCCAGTTATTGGGAGTATCCTTCCTGCATTTACGCTGTCTAGCCCTGTTAAACTTTTATAGATTCTATGATCATTCATGGAGACTGTGCATGAAAATCAGTATTTTCGTCATAATTATTGTCAGTACATTGTGTCATTTTGTTACTGTGGGCACTAGGAATGTTGGCTTTGTACCTTTTACTTGTCCTTGCTGAACTGTGACAACTGGTGGGTTTAATGGTGGTGTTGTCCCATTCAAAGGCGGGATCTGGTCCTGAAGACAGTCAATGTTTCTGGTAACCATCTTCGAGATCAGCTCATTCCACATTGCAAACTGCCTGTTATACATGAAACAGCAAAATAAACAGGTGCTCTGTGTATTTAGACAAGTCACATTATAAGACAGAAACATGGAGACTGTGTCTTACTTTGCTCTGAGGTTGCTGCCCACAGATCCTTGGTTGAGGCTTGCATTCAGCTCAATATAATGCTTCTCAATGCTAAACTCTGGCCAGATAACAGGAACTGATTGAGGATGGTTTGGATTTCTATTACAGAGAAAAAAGTAATAAGAATATTTTGAAACCTCTGCAATAGGATGATTTTCTCACCAAATAGAATCAACTTTTACAGCAACCCTTTGAGGAAGATCAGTTCGATAAAATGAATGGGAATTGGTTGAGAAAATGTTTTTGTTCAAAAAGACACACTGGGGTTTTATTCCTGCTTAAACAAGATTGCATTACCTAAGCAAATCCAATGTTAAAGGAGGAAAGGAAATAATATTACCGCCTATTACATATAAGGCTTAAAAATCCGATCCCTCCAACATCAATGTGCTTTGGCTGTGGTGAGTGCTATGTGCATGCACCACAGGATACACTACATCAACTTGCCAAGGTCACTTTGACAGCATCTTCCAAACTTGTGACCTCCGTTATTATTACTTCTAAGTTCCATCGCAAGTCACTCACTCCGTTCGGGCCCTGCCTGGGCCTTTTCTATCTTTGGAGGTGCAAGCAATTGAAGACAGGACTTTAATGTGTGACTAGCAGTATCCGAGCAGAAACAAGCATCAAACCCTCAGCTGACTGGTTTCCTTTCTATAGATAGTTTAAAAATGTTTTATTGTAAAGAGTAAAACTCTTTGACTGCACAGATATCGTAAGAAGCATTCAAGACTAAGTAAACACCCAAACATCTTGGTTTGAAGCAAGCACCTTGGTTCGACAAAGATGGAAGGTAGTTACGGCTCTGCAAGTGAAAAGATACTAAAGCAAATCAGAAACGTCCCTCTGTCAATTCAAATAAATATTCATTTCTACATGGCTACAAAATAAACCAGATTGATGTCCGTTATGGAAACTAGGACCTGCTATAAAAACAATGTTACTATTGCCAATTTTTATGAATGGTGGAAGCTTCCTGTTCTGTCCATTGTTGTTGCATTTGGTGTTTCCCCAGCTCCATCCGCAACTGCAGATTATCTGAGAACCAAGTCATTACAATAAGTAAGATTTTACCCTGTCCTGTTTTCTTATATGTTAAAATTTACCTTGTGGTGCATTAACATTTGTGGCTACACAAATTGTAAATTGCAGCAATCCAGTGTGATTGGGGAGCCAAATAAACTACCATTCTAAAAACCAAAGATTTGGAAAGAACAACAATGTTTTTTTATCACAGGTTAGTTAATTCTCAATTATTTCGTTTGTTAAATTACACAGCACAAGCAACTATACAAACAGTTAATTAATCGTTTCTCCTTCACTATCATCATCATGTCACTTAACAATAAAGAAACCAAATTTCGGTCGTATCTGCATATACTTCTAAAACCATTCGCCTGTAGAATTACGCCATGTGAATCTCTAAAGGGCCAAAACATTAAATCTAATTCATATTTCTCCTTCATTCAGCAAATAAAAGGTCTGGTCACTATTTTTAAAAAAAATCATAGATATTATACAGTTCTTAATGGTTCTTGTTTTTTTTTAAAAAGCATTGAAAAAATTTAATTCTTATTATTTTTAATCTTGCCAGTTTGGAATATAAAACCAGAATAATATTTTGCCAACAGGCTGATTGCTCAATGAAGTTAATAGAGAGCTAAAAAACTAAAGACCCACCCAGTGTCTTAGTAAAGAATGGTGTCTGGTTTGTAGACATAGTTTAATGCAGAGTGATGCTTCCTGTTAACTTAGTAGGATTTCAACACATAAATTTAAAAGGTATCAAGCTCAATCCCTGATCTATGCTGAATTAAGTAAATTCACCCTGTGCAGTAGTGGAGATAGAATGGCTAAAATTAGGCCGATGACTCCCAGAATTAAGAAGAAAAGAAAATTATGCTATATGTTCTCTTGATATTTTTTTCTTAAGTTATTTCCCAGGATGTGGGTATTGCTGGATAGGCCAGCCATTGCTACCCGTCCTTAATGCCCTTAAAAAGGTGGTGGTGAGCTGCTTTCTTCAACTACTGCAGTTCCAAATGTTCCAGGTACGTCCACAATGTTACCAGGAGGGGATTTTGACTCAGTGACAATGAAGGAATGACGGTACTGTTCAAAGTCAGGATGGTGTGTGCCATGAACGGGCGTAATTAGACATTAGTAGTTACGGTCTAAAAGCACTACCTGGAACTGTGGTGAAGGCTGGTTCAATTCAGGCATTCAAAAGAGTGTTAGACGGTTAGTCAAAAAGAAACAGTGTACAACGTTTTAAGAAAGAGGGAGGAGATTGACACAAAGTCAAAGAGAGTTGGTGCAGAAGCAGTGAGCCAAATGGCTTCTTTCTGTTGCATAACAGTTCTGTGATTCTGCTGTTCCCATGCTGTTGCAGTCCTTGTCCTTCTGGGGAGTAGAAGTCATGGAATTGGAAGTTGCAGTCCAAGGACCCTTGGTGAGTTGCTGCAGTTTATTTTGGATACAAGGATGTTGGAGTTCAGTAAGTTGCCAATTCTGGTTTGGCATATTCCTGGAGATTTAATCACACAATTTCCAATTATCCAGTTTAGTCAAACAACATTTATTTCCCACCTCCAGTCATTAAAAAAAAAATGAATAATTAAAAGTGTTCAAGTAAAATGAAAGTAAAACACAATTTGTTCTACCACCCATGCAATGCTAACTTCTGGGGCTTCTTGCACCAGTGTTTCAGACTCTAATCTTCAATTCCTAAAGTCTCCAGGACAATTCTAGAGGTTTGGTAACTCTATTACTTGACATATCTGAACACAACAAAACCTTTAAAAGTTTTCACTGAATTGTCTGTGTGAAGGAACAAAAGGGATTTGTGATTGATAAAGTTCACATTGAACCATCTGCAATTCATAAACAGTAAGAACCTGTTTTATAGGATATGTGCCTGAAGTAATTGTATTTAAGCTCAACTGATAGAAGGTTCCACATTTGAATGTTAGGAAGACTACACCATTTCTTCTCCAGGATCTCAGGTTCATTATATTGGCACTCTTATATGTTGAACTCCCACCAAATACACCATATCCGGTATGGATGAGCCCAGGTTTGCCATGTCATCATTGGACATGTTCTGTCACCTATTTACTTGCTTCTCTCGATTTACCCTGTTTTCGCAAAGTTGGTCCAGTATGTCATCACGGCCTGACTCAGATTCCTCTCCTGCTGGTTGTAGGATTTTGGCTTGGAAAATGGTCTGCCAAAGACAAACTGTAGCTCTTCTGTATGAAGGGCACCAATCCACTCTGGCCAGATTGCATTTGGCATCTTGGATGGGTATGAGAATTGGTAAGCATATGTTCGACTGGCATTTCTAGGTAGAAAAATGATGCAATATATTAATGCAAACTTCATCCTTGCAACAGTAATTCAATATTTCAACAACATAAGAGTATAGAATTAAGAACGTTGGAACAGGAATAGGTCATTTGGTCCCTCAGGCCTGTTCACAATTCAGTTGGATCATGAACGTTCTGTATTTTAAGTAGATCTACCATCTGATTCGCTAAAGCTCATCTTTATGCCCAGCAGAAATCTACTGATTTCAGCTTGGAAACCTTACAATTCACCCAGTGTTTGTGGGGGGTTGGGGGGGAATGTCCAAATCTTCATTACGGGCAGAGGAACATTTATCTCTTTTATAAACTGTCTCAATTCAGTGAGAATTATTCTAATTCCATCCACATGCCCATAATACAGTCGGTCAGTAAAAATGTATCGTTAACAGATTTAGATTTAGATTTATTAATTGAGTGACCAGCTACTGCTTTTCATGGCAAAGAGTTTGACACTTTTTATTGATAAAGTAACTGCTCTGAAAGGATTAATCTTGGATGCTGCATCAAGCACAACTCAATCCGATGATATCAGATAGTCTTGGGTGTGAAATCAGAAGAATACCTTTGGATTTTGAAGGAGACGAATGTGTCATCTATGTATCCTAATAATTTCGGTAACATAATATGTAACTTGCTATTGTAACTTGTAGTGAATGGCTATAATGCAATAAACTACATCTTGTTAAGATGTGAGCCTTTCCTTGTTAGGATTCGATGATCATTGTTCTTCCAACACTGTGAACCCAAGTAGGCCCTTAGACACAGTCAAGGTAGGGTTAATGGGGCCAGCATCCTTCTACATACACCTGTATCACTCTTTGTGTAAAGAAGTGTTTCCCAACTTCTCCCCTCTCTGGTCCAGGTCTGGTGTTAAATTTTATTTCAGTTGAGCAAAAGAGCATTTCTGTGAACCCTAATGGTTCTTTCTAAAATCCTAAAAGCATCAGTCAATCAATCAATCACCCCTTAACCATTTAAATTTCCAAGAGTAGAAGCCTAGTTTAAATATTTGCCTATAAGTTAACCCTTGGAGCTCTGGTGACTATCTTGCAAATCTTTTCAGTTCTCCTTCTAAGGTCAATCTATCCTTTTCAAAGTGTAGTGCCAAAATCTGTACACAATACTACAGATGTATTTGAGCCATGTTTTTGCATATCTACTGCAAGGCTTCCAACCCTTATACTCCAGCCCCTAAGCTTAAAAGAGAATATTTCATCACCCTTAATAGCAACACCAAATTCTTTACTCAAATAGTGGTGAGAGCATGGATGTCTCTGGAGTGGGTGAGGTGATTGTGTAGATGCGTTTAAGGGGAAGCCAGTTCAAGTAACTCAGATCCAAAGAAAAAGAAGGATCAGTGTCTTGGATAAAATGGGCTGTTATTCAGTGCTGTAAAAGTATAACGTATACATTTATACAGCACTTCTAAAATAGTAAAATATTCCAACAATCTTCACAACAGCATAAAAAATTAACAATGAGTAAAAGAAGGAAATATTAACAAAGTTGCTGGAAAAGCTCAGCAGGTCTGGCAGCATCTGTGAAGGAAAAAACAGAGTTAATGTTTCAGGTCTGGAAGGGTCACCGGACCCGAAACATTAACTCTGTTTTTCCCTTCACAGATGCTGCCAGACCTGCTGAGCTTTTCCAGCAACTTTGTTTTTGTTCTGATTTACAACATCCGCAGTTCTTTCTGTTTTTAGGGAGATATTAAGGTTAGTGACAAAATGTCAGACATAAGAAATGGGTTTTAAAGAACAGCTTAAAAGAGGAGAGAAAGGTACCATGAGGGAATATCAGCAGTTAGAGCTCAGGTATTAGAAATTAAGAAACAGGAGCAGGTGTAGACTATATTGTTCCCCAGACTGCTCCACTATTCTATAAAGGTATGTTACCTCCACTGCACATTTGCACTTTGTCTCCATATTCCCTATTCCTCTAAACAGCTAAAAGCACGGTCATCAGTAGAGAGGTAAAGGAATAGGGGTTGGACAAGTGTCAGAATTGGAGAAATCTCTGGAATAATTTAATGTTTGGCATGTCCAACCACATTCACATATCCAGCACATGAAGCCAACTTCTGCAAGGATGGTTTGAAAGGATTGGCTCGTCATATGAACCATAAGAAAGGAGAAAGGCTGGTGCTTCCTCCCTTTAACAGGTAGTTAAAGCTATCTGTTTGGAGAGATAAATTTGATGAAAAGACCAGGAGTAATGCATTTAGATTTGTTGGTGATACAAAGCTAAGTGGAAACATAAACTGCGAGGAGGATACAACAGTGCTACTAAGAGAAATAGACAGGTTCTGTGTAAGTAACAAGGTTGCAGATGGTGTATAATGCTAGGAAGGGTGAGGGTATGCCCTTTTTTTTGTAAGAATAGGAAAGCCGAGTTGAGTGGCATAAAACTTGCAAATATTCATCTTCAAAGGAGCTTGGGTGTACCTATACAAGGAAGACAGAAAATTAGCACACAGGGTTGGAAAAATAATTAGGAAGGCAAAAGGTTGGTCTTTATTACAAGATGATTGGAGTACAATAATAAAGAGGTTTTGCCAAAATATAGGAACATAACAAACAGGAGCAGGTATTTTAAGCACCTTGGACCTATTTCACCATTCATATAGATCATGGCTGATCTGTATCCCTATTTAACACCTATGTTCCATATCCCTTGATATATTTAGGTAAACAAAGTCTATCAAACATTGTCTTGAAAGCTCCAATTTACCCCGGGTTTCCACAGAATTTTAGGGACAATTGTCTAAATTTCCATGATTGTGGTGTGAAAATTTAGTTTTGCTTTTCCATCCAGAATGGTCTAGCTCTTTTTTAAGCTTCTGTCCCTTTCTTGTGATTCTCAGAGAAGTGAAATAGTTCACCTATATGTAGTCAATCAAAGCCCTTCAAAGTGTTAACACTTTGATCGTATCAGCTCTCAGCATTTTAAAATGAAGGGATTAGCAACCATGTGCATGCAACCAACTGTTATCCATCAGTGTGTTAGGTCTTTTATATATCCCTGAATATCTGATATCTAAGTTTCTGATCAATGATAACAAATAGATGTTGGTAGCTGGGCAGCCAGAGTTTGTAATGCCATTGAATATCAAGTAGAGATGGATAGGCTCCCACTTGTTGGAGATGCTCATTCCTGACACTCTGTGCACTGCAAATGTTACTTGCCATATAGCAGCCCAAGTGGGATGCTTCCAGGTTCTGCAGCATTTGGACATGGGCTTTTCCAGCATCTTAGGAATCACAAATGGGCTTAACATTGTGCAATTATCATCAAACATTCCCACCGCTGACTTTATGATGGAAGGAGGGTGATGGATGAAGCACTTGAGGACATTTGGTCCTAGGACCACTATTTTGAGGAATTATGCAATGATTAGCCTCTGACAACAACAGCCAGCTTCTTTTGTGCCAAATATGACTTTGATCAGTGGAAAGGTTTCCCCCATTTCCCATTGACTTATGTTTTTCTAGGCTTGCTCCTTGTGACTTTCTTACCTGCTGATTATTGTGTGCTTCTGCGCAGAGTTGAATGCTGGGCTGCAAAATTCAAAATCAGTGTACAGTCTTGACAAACCCTGCCTTCTTGAAAGCTGTGTTGGATTCTCCCAGTCAGTGTACTCAAATATAGCTGACTCCACTGCAGCCTCTCCCAAAGAACCTGCAATATGTACAAGCACAACAGACCTGGAAGATTAATCTTGATCCTTACTTCACAGCCAGACCGGCTGTGTATTTCCAATATTGTCTGTTTTGTTTTGAAATTCCAACATTTGCAGTAGTTTGTCTATGTACTGTGTATCTATATTATGCTTTTAATGTAGTCAATTGTCCAAAGGTGTTAAACAGGACTGTTGTCAAATGTATGGACTATCTTTTTTTTTACTTTCATTGTTTGATTTTAATACCTGGGACCTCATGTACTAAAATGTTTTTTAAAAAGGGAAAATAAGACAGACATAAAATGACTGCAGCAATCAGCTGACCACAGGTTAAGCCAGCACATGAAACCATCAATAAACAATAACCAATCTGATCTGAAATTAATATCTTTGTGAAAAAGGCATTAAAACTCAGATTTGTCATTCCTGTTTTCCTTACAACTTAATGGATAATTTTCATACATCCAGAAATGAAGATCTTGCCTGCAAATTATGCAGCTTGGAAAAACAATGAAGCCAGAAATGGGAATACAGAAATGAATTGTATTTCAAGCAGCTGCATTGGCATAGCATCAAAGAAAAAATGGATTTAAAATTGCAGGACTGGAAGATTCTATACTTCCTTGTTTTCTCTCAGTTTGTCAAAAAGACAAATTTAGAAGGCGAGTTGAACAAACATCCTTTCACCAAAAACTCAATGATATCTGCAATATTCGTCAGTACTGGGGGTATAAGACACCAATCAACCAATCATGGTCTCAGTTTAAAACCTAATGCCTCTAGCGAGTTTATACTGCATTTGCTGTTATGTTCCTTTATGTACTAGGCATCATTGTCATTTTAAAACTTTATACCAGTTTGTGTGTGTGCTTAATGTTGCATATCTATTATTTTCTATTAGTAAGTAATACAATTCTTCTTTCATTCATAGAGTCGTACAGCTTGGAAACAGACCCTTCGGTCTAACCAGTCCATGCCGAACATAATCCCAAACTAAACTAGTCCCACCTGCCTGCTCCTGGCCCATATCCCCCCAAACCTTTCCTGTTTTTGTACTTATCCAAATATCTTTTTACACACTGTAATTGTACCTACAACCACCACTTTCTCAGGAAGTTCATTCCACATACGAACCACGCTCTGTGTAAAAAAAGCCCCTCATGACCTTTTAATCAATCTCCTCTCACCTGAAAAAGAAACTTGGTAATTTTCTTCTTACTTCAATGTTAGTTAACTAAATTTTTATTGAAATGAGATGTAGCCATGTGCTGAAAATAAATAAAACCTTTGTTACAGACAAACTATAGGAGAGCAGATTTACTCCTCCTCAATTAGTCATAAAAACATTGAGCTGCATCAAGGGTTATCATCTAAACGGACCAAAGAACTGTCAAAGTTCCAGGTTTTAAGACCCTTAAAGGGTCTTAAGACAGATAGATGATGAAACAGGAAGATTTGGGGAGGGAATTCCAGAATTTTGGTCTTCACCAACTAAAAGCATGACTATCAATGTTGCTGAGTTTACATCAGGGTACCGAAGATTTAAGAATTAGAGGATTGATGCTACCTTTAGAGGGTTGTAAAGGTGAAGGACATTACCGAGATGGAAAGGACTGATGAGGTTATGGAGGTGTTTGAAAACAAGAATGTTATTTTTAAAATTGTGGTGTTGCTCAGAGATAGCAAGAACTGCAGATGCTGGAGTCAAAGTCAATACAGTGTGGAGCTGGAAGAACACAGCAGGCCAGGCAGCATCAGAGGAGCAAGAAAGTCGATGTTTCAGATCGGGACCCTTCATCAGGACTGGGAAGGGGGAAGGGAGCTCCCTTCCACCTCCCCAGTCCTGATGAAGGGTCCCGACCTGAAACATCGACTTTCCTGTTCCTCTGATGCTGCTAACCTGCTGTGTTACTCCAGCTCCACACTGTATTGACTGTGGCGTCACTCAGTTGGGAGCAAAACGTAGGTTGGCAAGCAAAAAAAAAATGGGTGAACTTGTTTTGGCATGGGTTAGGATGTGGATGGCAGAGTTCAGGATATTGTCAAGTTGTAAAAGGATGCAAGTATACAAGGATGCAAGTATCCTTTGACAACACTTTCCAAACCTGCAATGTTTACCACCTAGAAGAACAGGGGTAGCAAATCTATGGTATGTATTTTAAAATGAAATTCAAAGCTTTGCTTTAGCCTAATCCTCTCTACTGCTACATGAGAACAGTCTGGAAAAAATACTGGAGAATTCATTTGGATTAAACTAAATGCTAGAGTAACCAGTACGATATTATTATGTTCACCTATATCATGCCTCTAGTGAACAACACCAGATCAAACTGAGTTCAACAACCTTGCAGCAGATATGATGTGAGAACGGGCTCATTAGACTAGAATGGTTGAAACTTTGTAGCACCAATTCAAGCAAAAATAGTGTAATCCCTCCCGACTGACTTATCTGCTCCTTCCAGTATTCTTTACTAGGTCCATAAGGGGACCTGTTGAGATTGACCTAGTAAAGAGTGCATTGATAGGGTTGGGGATGGGGTTAATAATGATATGACAAATTTAGGAACTTCCGTTAAATTCATCCGAAACACTCCATAATGATTTCTGATTTAAATCAACTTGATTTCTGAACTGTTCAATACTCACCCACACCCTTTTTCACCGCTGTTCGGAATTTAGCCTCACTAATTCCAAAAGGAATATTCACGCCAGGGAACCAGGTGGCCACAAACATATGACCATCTCCATTGTTACAGCCCAACAAATAATCAACATCTCTACTGTTCTCAAACAGCATCTCTGGTTCAGCAGGGAGAAAGTCACCTGTAATCAGAATGATGGAAATAAATGCATTGAATAGAGCCAAAAAGAAAGAAAACAGATGTGTTGACATTTCAGTGGAGCGATTCCTCATTTTAAGAATTTGACAGTTACTTGTTGATGAGCAGTGAGCAGCCCCCAGTAGCCCAATGAGTAAACATTCTATCTGGTCAAGAAAGAAAAGAAGTCTTGCATTGCCATGGCACCTATCATGATCTTAGAAAGCAGACAAGACTCCAGGTTAGTAGTGACAGAAAGACTATTCATCAGCGGTCCTGCACTCCCTCAGAACTGCTCCAGAGTGTCATCCTAGGCTTTGCACTTATGTTCTTGACCAGGACTCTGAATGTACGACCTTCTGACTAAGTGGGAAGAGTGCTGCACATTGAGCCATTGACTGACACCTAAGGTTGTGACACAAAGCCACAAGTTACAAATAAATAGTGGCTTATTGTGGATAGTTAATGGCATTCTCTGCTTTGCAAACCAAAGTTTAACTGCATTAAAATATTTTCCTTAATCCATTCTCTTATATTCTTTCAGTCCCCCTGACCATCACCAATGTTATAATAAAAGAAAATGCAATAGAGGATCGAAATTTGAAATAAAAATAGAAAGTTCTAAAGAAACTTAGCAGGTCTGGCAATTTCTATAAACAGAGAAACAGAGTTAAAACTTTGAGTCTGGAAAAGTCACATCAGGCTCAGAATGTTAACTCTTTTATCTCCACAGGTGCTGCCAGATTCACCAATCTCATCACTGAGTTGAAAACCCAAAATTGTTGTTTTACAGTTAAGATCAAAAGAATGCCACATCTATGTTTTCCATTAAAAGCTTATCACTAATTGCGTAATTAGACTCCTGCATGATGTGAAAAGGATTGGTTGACCTATCAGTAGTTTACAAGGGCAGAACTTTCCACCCATGGCTTGCACAGTCTAGTGAACTGTGGGGACAAGGTAACTCAGAGGACAGAAGATTTGATTTGATTATTGTCACATGTCCCATGATAGATGGAAAAGTATTGTTTTGCGTGCTGTCCGCAAATCATACCATATGTAGGTACATCAGGGTAACAGAACGGAATGCAGAATATAGTGTTACAGCTACAGAGAAGGTGCAGAGAAAGACCAATTCTAATATATGAGAGGTTCGTTCAAAAGTCTGTTAACAGCAGGGAAGAAGCTGTTCTTAAATCTGATGGTACGTGTTTTTAAACTTTTGTTACTTCTGCCCAACGGAAGAGGGTGGAAGAGAGCATTACTGGGGTGGAAGGGGTCTTTGATTATGTTGGCTGCTTTCCCGAGGTAGCAGGAAATGTAGATGGAGTCAATAGATGGAAGCCTGATTTGCATGATGGACTGTGCTGTGTTCACAACTCTCTGTAATTTCTTGTGGTCATAGGCAGATCAGTTGACATAGCACGCTGTGAAGCATCTGGATAGGATGCTTTCTATTGTGCACATATAAAAATTAGTATAAGCCATTGCAGATATGCTGAATTTCCTTGGCCTTCTGAGGAAGTAAATGAGTTGGTGTGCTTTCTTAACTGTAGTGTCAATGTGGACTGATCAGGATAAACTGAATGTGAGGAGAGTGTGAGTATGAACTGGGGATGAGGATTGACATAGCCACTGTGAAGCAGGGGAGCTGGAAAAGAATGTGACTATGGACTAGGCAAAGCAGGAATTAACACCTGGGTTTTACTGGGTAACAGAGGCCCTTGCAAGGGCTGGAAAGTCAAGGGTGACCCCACTTCGACTGTTTCTGAGGGTCATGACCACAATTTTAAGCAGACAGCTAATGAGCTGCAATTGGGATTCAGTCCTGTTAAGGAAGAAGAACCCTTTCCCAAGAGCAGCCAGCTAATCGGGAGGCCGATGTTTCTTTAATCTCAGCAGTGCCATCAGGAACAATGGTCACTGCTTGGACTGCGGATGGCCCAGAGCAGCATTGTGGACACGCTCAGGGAATACGAGTACAGGGTGGGATCACTGGGGCCACTTAGGCAAGCCCAGTGAGGATGAAGAAGGTGATTGATGAGGAAGAAGTGTCGGGGGGTGGGTATTGCTGGCATTTATTTATAGGTTACACTAATGGTCTTTCTAAGCATGCTGCAGCTCTCTCAGGAAATTACATAGCTCTGGGTGGGTGGTGAGTATATGCATTGCGATGAATTGGCCACCATTGCTGGATGGGATAGCCCATTGCACCTCTGTCCTTTCCAGTCCCCCATTACTGTATGCTGTTGAGTCCGAAGAGACTGAAAACCTCTGTGAATGAGGAAATCACAGCAAGAGGCTCAGGCAATGTTACTCCAGGACTCAATGCAACAATTTATCACCCAATGTAAACTGGTTTAGTCAAAACAAATTAAAATTCTTGGGACTGGGACACCAAAAACATTTGGGATCCTTCTACTATACCCGCACAGTAACATCCCCCATTTATACTCCCACCCCCCTCCAATGATTAACACAAATTAGCAGCAAAAGAGTAATAAGAAGAAATAGGTATAGAATGCCAATAAGGAATGGCTTGGATTTGTACAGTGTCCTTCATGACCTTAACATATTCCAAAGGTTTTACAGCAGATTTAAGTACTTTTGAATTGTAGACACTGATGTAACTTTGGGGAAACAACAGCTAATTTCTCCACTGCACAGTCCCATGAACAAAAATGGCTAAACAATTTTACTTTCAATTGTGACCTTAGGGATTAATACCAGGAACCCAGGGAAAACCTTGTCGTAAATCTTCAAATCATGTCATGTTATATTTTGCCATTAGCTATGAAGGCTGTTTGACCTTTTGCTTAATAGTTCCAACAGTACAGCACTTACTCAGCACTGCTACATTGGCCCAGTTTTACAGCTCAACTCTCTGGAGTGGTCCTTCATACCCCAGTTATGACTTTGAATGTGTTACCAGTGAGCCACAGCAGAGAGCTTAATATACCATGTTTAAAAGACCCAGCTCTGTGACATAATGGCTTCCTATTTGGCTTAAAATCCTGTGCACAAGTCTTGTACACCCCATGTGTTAATCTACCCCTGCTAATTCCTGACTTTCTTCAATACTTTCACGACTTGGTATTACAATAATTACCATCAATTGTAGGAACAAATGGAATGAAAAACACCATCTTGTTTTCAGTAAGCAGCTCTGTCACTCGAATCACCAACATGATGTCTTTAGCAGGCACCTGCCTGAGGCAAAACATCATGGCAGCGGTATCTTCCAGCGGGCACCCCAGAGCCTGGGCAACTCGACGAGCACTGCGGAGCGGGTTTCGATTCACAGCCCACATCACCCGGGCATCACCACTTTCTGAAATTGCACGTCTGCAGACAAATCAAAAAGGGTAGGAGAGAGGGTGGTGGTGGTGGGGGGTTGTGGATGGTGGAGCAGAGAAGCAATGTGAGGGTAAGAAAAGAAACAGAAATTAGGTGAGAGGAAATCCTGACCAGTGTTTCGAAACAGATGTTGTTATATTGAATTTTTTTTCTTTACTCTTTTCAGACGCTGGGATGGTCCCAGAGAAATCCTTGGCATATGCTTTTTTCCCTTAGCTGGGTCTCACACCAATCCAGGCCTGAGGAGTCTGCAGAAACAATCCTTGAGGCCTTCTCAGGAGTTGCTAGGACAAGAAGCTCCCAAGACCCAAGGATTGCCTGAGAGGGGGAAGATACTACATGCATTCATGAACTGTTTGGACGTTACTCCCAAATCCTAACAGTTCTATCCCCATATTTTGTCCATCTGACTCAAAGCAGACCCACCTCGTGGTCTTTCACCATTCTGGCCAATTGGAAAATGAAGATACTCTTTCTTACCTGGCTGGACAATTCCTGACTGTTGACCAAACAACAATATTTCCCCCAAAATCCAATATTTTTATAATTAACAAACAACAGTGTTCAAAGGCAATAAAATGAAGCACACAATTGTTCCCTGTTCCTCATGATGTTACACCCAGGTTGTTCACATCTGTTCCTGAAAATTAACTTTAATTTCTAGTTATTTCAGGGCAATATTCAGTTTAAAGATACTGCACAGTTAAGTGAATCAACCGTAAACCAAAAAAAAGTGCAAGTTGCTGTCAACCAAAAAGCAGACAAAGAGCAAACAAAATTCTGTTGCATAGATACCTGAAGAGCCCTTTGCTTACTGGTGATAATACATGCATGCTTGTACAGGCACCTCCAGCTGATTCACCAAACAGAGTGATGAGCTCTGGATTTCCTCCAAAACTTGCGATATTATTCTTCACCCAGGTTATGGCCATGTGCTGGTCCCACAAGCCATAATTACCTACATTTGATTAAAAAAAACTGGGCTTTAATGTTCAAATTCCAGTTTTCTCGCCTACTGTCTTGACTGGAGGTCGTGCCTCATCCTAGGGTATATTTCCACAGCTACTGAAGTTCCTCACTACCACATAAAGAATGAGCATTGATGATGAAGATCTCCAGTTCTCAATCTATGAGTGATGTCAAAGGCAGGCCAGGATCTGGCTTTTAGCCCACGTTCACCCATATTCATTTTCTGTAAGGCTGGTCCACACAATTATATAGAATTTACAGCACAGAGAAAGACAATTTATCTGGTCTAGTCTGTGACAGCATTAATGCTCTATAAGTGTTCTCCCACTTACTTCATCTACCTTTATCACCATAAAGTTTCAGTCCTTTCTCACTTATATATTCAAGTAGATTCCACTTTTATACACCTCTTTTATATATTTTAACTACTTGATACATAGAGGGTTCCACATTCCAATCATCCTCTGGGTAAAGTGCTTTGACCTAAATTCCTAACACCTAATTTGGTAGTGACCTTTTGCTTTTATTTTCTCAAAGCACCATAATGACAAAATAAATTGCCTTATCTTGTGGTGAAATTTCATGACAGATTATGATTATTTTATTTGGAAAGCTGGGTTCTAAAATGTATGGAACCATGGATAGCTTTAAGTTTGACTTCCTTTCCATATTGTTGCATTAATAAGGGAGACACAGTTGCAGTGTAATTTTTGAGGTTCATGAGTGGTACTGGACTGTCTGGCAATGTGTATACATGCACTTAAATGAGGCTTTAATAAAGCTTGGAACTGAATAGTCAGTGCTTTAAAAAGCAATGCAAGAAGAGGGTAATGCTGTTCTATGATGCAAGGTGACAAAGAAAGAAATAAGCTTCCATGTAGTAAGACAGAACTGTCCCAAAGTTTGGACAGTGTGCAGGTTTCTGTCAGAGAGAACAAGTCAATGGCAGCAATGGTACTGTTATCTTTGCAGTTTCCAAAGGAATTTGGACTTAAAAGAAATCCTAAAGTGCCTTCATGTCAGTAAATAAAACATTTCAGAAACAGAAGGCTGTGGAACTGGAGTTTAAGGATTCCATGTTAAGAAAGAAGAGAGCTGCGAATGCAGGAAGAGATGTTGACTAAAGAAGTAGAATAGAGTGAATGCAAATACTTGCCAGAAAGAAATCAAGAAAAGTTTGTCCATCCACCAAGGCACTTTAAAGTGAAAACTTCCTAATCTTTCACTGAGGTTCAAGTATCTGTGAGGATAAAATTGTTATTTCTGATACTTGTAGTAAGAACTTTCAAACAGCTCTTATCATAGAACCCCTACAGTGTGGAAACAGGCCATGTGGCCCAACAAGTCCACACCATCCCTCCAAAGAGCATCCCACCCAGACCCATTCCCCTGCATTTCCCACATCTAACCCAAACGTCCCTCGGCACTATAGCATGACCAATCCACCTAGCCTGCATATCTTTGGACTCAGGGAGGAAACCAGAGCACCCAGAGGAAACCCACACAGACACAGGGAGAACATGTAAACTCCACACAGACAGTCACCTGAGGCTGAAATCAAACCCAGGTCCCTGGCACTATGAGGCAGCATTGCTAACCGCTGAGCCACTGTGCTGCCCATGCAAAATGTATCACTTTATTTTCACTTATTGAACTAGCCTTGATCTTCTTTTGTTGTCAGCTTCTTGAAAGTGTGTTCAGTGACTGACCATCATGGTAAACATAATTGCAAAATTAAAACCTATGGTCTATCAAGTCAGATATTCCTCTGGGATCTGACTAATCCAGTATCATCTTCAGCTAGGATGATAACATAAAGTATAGTATTGAAAGAAATAAATGATTGCACAAAGTTGTATAAAGCTACATTTGGGCTGCATGTGAGTACCCTGTTCAGTTCTTGATACCAAATTCAAGGAAGAATAAATTTGTCTTATAGGAGGTCAGCGCATAGTCATTTAAACATTAGTGAGGGTGGAAGAGTTAATTGTCATGAGTTTAGAAAATTAAAGAGTGATCAATTGAGGGTGCTTAGGACATTTAAAAGAATTGATGATGCCGAGATAAATTAGTTCCTCAAGTTTGGCAGTCTTGGTCAAAATGACATAATACCAGAGTTAAGTCATTCAAGGCAAACTTCAGGAAGCAACTCTTCATGAAAAGTGGAAACCGTGAACTCTCTCTCACCAAAAGATTGTAAATGCAAGTTGACAGCCCCCTTTACATCTCTTAACAATTTTATTTCTGTTGTCTTCAATTGGAAGAGATAAAGGGCAGTCTGCTAATTTGCAACCAACTATCTCCAGCCCCGTTTCAGTCTACCTGCTGTTGAAACTCTCACCCATGCCCCTGTTACCTCCAACTTGATTTCTTCAATTCCCTTCTCACTGCCCTGCCACCTAATACCCTCAGTAAACTTCAAAACATCATAAACCTCAGTTGCAGATGCCCTGACCAGTTCTAAGTTCCTTTCACACTGTACATCAATTCCTGTACTTACCAACCAACAGCGGCTCCCCATCTGATTATGCCTCAGTTTTAGAATTCTTATCTGTGTTTTTAAATTCCTCTATAGTTTCACTCAGACTTGACTCTGTCACCTTTTGGAATTTGACAACCTTTGACATCCCTACATTCCCCCAATTCTTAGTTCTTTCTCATTCTTGGTTTACATTCATCTCAGGGTTAACATCCATGCCTTCAGCTCCCTTAGCCCTAGAATTCTATCCTTCTTCAGGCTTTCTATCTCCTTATCTTCACTTCAGTTGCTTATTAAAACCAATCCTGTTGAATAAGCTTTGGAGCACTCATCATCAACACTCCTTATGTGGTTCATTGTCAAATTCTCTTTGATAACACTCCTGCAAGATGTTTCACAATGTGAAATGCATTACAGAAATTCATGTCATTGTTTTTGACTGTACAGTTTGTCATAAAGCATTTATACCCAATTTGTCTTGTGTTCACTGTGGGATTATTGAGTGTGACGTGTCTTTGTGGTGTACTCTAGAAAAATGGGATCACCTCTTCCATTGCTATCCCCAGTACTGAGGAAGCCGAGTGCAGCCAGGCGATAGTTGACACTCACAACGATGACATTCCCATGGTGGGCTAGCTCATTGCCATCATACAAGGTGTCGTTCAGGAGACCGGTGCCTTGACCTGCTCCAATGGCAAAGGCTCCTCCATGAATCCAAATCATGACTGCTAGTTTCTTCCTCAACGCTTCTGTAAATAGGCAGCAACATAGAGACATAGTCATAGGGATGTACAGCACAGAAACAGACCCTTCAGTCCAATTCATTCCTGACAGATATCCTAAATTATTCTAGCCCCATTTGACAGCATCTGGTCCATATCCCTTTAAACCCTTCCCATCCAGATACCTTTTAAATGTTGTAATTGTACCAGCCTCCACCACTTCCTCTGGCAACTCATTCCATATACATACCACCCTCTGTGTGAAAACGTTACCGTTCAAGTCCCTTTTAAATCTTTCCCCTCTCACCTTAAACCTACGCAGCTACCCACAGCTGACAAACCATTTACATCTTGCTTGTGTAATTATAACATGTGCCTTATTCCTGGTGGTTTAGTAGTCTTTAGGTGTCTGTCGTGGCTCATTGTGGAAGCATTCTCACCGCTACACCAGAAAGTTATTGATTTATGCCTGTAATCTCAGCTGAACCTTTCAGTGCAATACTATTGCAGGTGCTCTCATTCTGACAAGGCATTACACTAAGCCTGGGCTGTCCTTTCAGGTTGACTTAAAACATCCCATTGCACTGTTGGAAGAGGTTGTCCACCTGACTTACAATGTCATACAAGAGGAATGAGATGGATGGATGAAGGAGGTGTCACTACACTCTTGTCTCTGTGGTGCAATAGGTTAGCGTGTTCAGCTGCTAACGAAAAGGTTGGTGATTTGAAAACCACCCAGAGATGAAAGCCAATCTCACTTGGGGCAGTAGAGTGGCTCAGCAGTTAGCACTGCTGCCTCACAACACCAGGGACCTGGGTTTGATTCTAGCCTTAGGCAACTATCTGTGTGGAGTCTGCACATTCCTCTTGTGTCTGTGTGGGTTTCCTCCCACAGTCCAAATATGTGCAGGCTAGGTGCAATGGCCATGCTAAATTGCTCTCATGTTCAGGGATGTGTAGATTAGGTGGATGGGTCTGGTTGGGATGCTCTGTGGGTCAGTGTGGACTTTTTGCGCCGAAGGGCCTGTTTCCATCACTGTAGGGATTCTATGCTCTTCTTATCACTCCCATCAGGTATGAGTATCTCACAATTTCACAGAAGAGCCTCATCGTCTCCCATTCAAGTTATGGAAAGGCAAAGATGGTGAAGTGGCTTTTCCCTGCAGGATTTCATAGCCGAAATTACGGAATCCAGATGAGAGAGGTCAGTTTGCTCATCTCACTCATCCTTCCATTGAAATCGTCCCAGAATTGATGCTGGGAATTTTCTGATCGTCTGATATAACTTCAACAGATTGGTTAAAACCATGCTGACATATCTATCTGGGATTTCTGCCAAAATTATGATCACTAATGGGTGAGTCCCAGAGGGAAATTCCCAGTGTTGGAATTCCCTACGTTGTAGCATGCCTTGCTTAATTCCACCAGATATTTACTGTAATTTCTACCTTAGATGGTTACTCCAAGTCCAAAGAAGGACTCCGTGTGATCATTCTGAATGTGCTGTATGCACCTTGGTCTCCTTGTTCTGCCATCATGCCTAACATGAACCTGTGCTCAGGGTCAACATCTATTATTCTCTTTAAATGTTTCAACTTTGATAGGGGACAAATGAGAAGGAGCCTTTTTTATGTTTACCATTTTTTATTCTCATAATGCTGCCCATAAATTTGCTGTCTTTGATCTTTCTTGGTGATTTTTTTCTAAATCACTTCTGTTTTCTTTTAGTTAGAAAATGTCTCGCTGATTTCCTTCCCAGTTTCCGAAATTTTAACTCCCAAGGTTTGGGACCTTTAAGTTTTGTGAACATTTTGCCTGAGTCAATTTTGTCAAATTTCTTCAATGAGATCACCTCAAAGCCTCAATCCCAAAGAAAACAAACGCAACTCCTTCAACTTCTCGGTGTAAAGTAATCCCTACATGCCAATGTTCGGCACATTCTAATTAAATCATTGACTCTATTGTAAGGATAGCTTGCTACACTTTATATATGTTTCCAATTCAAAATAGTTCATAAATCATATTTGTCTCAATTTGTTCTTAAGTGAAGAAAAATAGGAACACTTTAAAAGAGGACCATCTTTATAATGAAAAAAGAGGTCAGCAAAATAATGCCTATCATTTTTATCATACTCTCAATGTGTTGTTTCTGTGATTTAATGACGTGTTTTTATATTACCTCATCAAACTCAAGTATTTGGCACATATATGAACCACAGTTTCCAAACACTTTTGAATAAAAGACTGTCCCTTTCATCTCAATGCTACACCCTCTGGGATACAAAGTTGAAAAGGTAAGAGCTTGTACAGACTGGAAAAATATAAGCAGAGCAATGAAAGAACTACACAAAGATCTCAAGTTACCACATAACAAATGTGTTTCCACTTGGCAAAAAAGGATTTGAGTTACTGAGCTATTCGGAAGGCTCATATTTCCACTGGTTTCAGCACATTTTACTCTGGCTCCATTTCCTTAAGGCTTTCATATGGCGCATTTGAGAGAATGATCAGGAAGATACTTACTAGCTGGGGGACAGTGCCTGTTTAATTCTGAAATAAATACATCAAATCAAAACAGGCAGGAAGATAAAACAGGCAGATAATATCAGGAGGTGCCAGAAATGGCTTTTGGATTCACTATGTTGACCTTCCTGCTTCCAAGTAAATTTTGAGCAGACTACAAGGAATTAACATCAGAGATTCATAAATTACAGAAGAAGTCTACTTGGTCAATTTTGTCTGTGCTGGATCTTTGAAAGAATTTGCTAACCAATTAGTCCCACCTCCATGCTTCTTCCTCATAACTCTTCACTTTTTTTCTCTTCAAATATTTATACAATTTGCTTTTTAAAGTTACTTTTTAATCTGCTTCAACCAGTGTTTCAAGTAATGCATACAAAATCAAAACAAGTCACTGTATAAAAAATGTTTCCTTCATACCCCTGGTTCGTTTGCCAATTATCTTAAGTCTGTGTCTTCTGGCTATTGATGCAGCTGTCATTGGAAACAGCTTTTCCTCATTTAATCAAAACCTCTCAGAATTTTGAAAACTTCTATTAAAATTCCCTTTAACCTTCCCTGTTCCAAAGAGATCAATCACAACTTGGAAATCTTTCCACATAATTGCAGTAGGTCACCCCAGTTCTGTTCTTTATAATTTCTCTGCACCCCCAATTCGGCCTGACATGATCCTAAACTCTGATTCCTGCAAATAGACAGGAGTCTAGCTGTGATATAACTAATGGAACATCTTGAGGGTGCAGATGTGTTGTGGCTGCTAAAAAGTGCACACAACAAGCCAGTATTCTCATACATTTTGCAAGGACTGGAACGTTGCTGGTAATCTCAGCTATGAGGGATACTCGAATGTAGCTATCCTCACTGACCAGGTATCAATGCTTAATCACAATCTTGGTGAATTTTGTATCTCCTGGTTACTCTGGCTATATCTCCCAGCATGAAGGGAAACTTAGTTTCCTTCAATAAATATTCGCTAAGATGTGGTGTCACTTTAAGCAAGCCATGTATCGTCCATTTTCATTGCCTTGAGAGGATGATAGTGTTAATAGTTTGAATGGCCACTTTAGATACAAACCACATTGGAGATGAGTTAACTACACAAATTGGCGTTGGATTGGCATCACACAATAGCTATACTCAGTAATGAGGATTAAAGTGGCTTATCAAAGGAACCAGTTCTGTTTTTGTCAAAGCCAGCAGCCCCACGATCTCTTTTATTTGCACCAACTTTTGTTTCCAGATATTTGAACTGAATTTTCCTTACTTTGCCACGATAAAATTTGAATATATGCTTTTTAGATTAACAACCCACACTTTCAAAGTAGGAGTTTAACATTACTACCGAATACAATCCTGACGCAACCAGTTTCATCACTCAAAGCGCAACTCATTTTCATTGGAAAAAGTGACATTGCTATCAATCTGGAGAAGCTAGTGTTACTAACATTGGTTGATCATAATCTTGACATTTGATGATGCTCAATCACGCAACATCTGATCACTTGACATCCCACTAGAGAGCTCACTTGACATGCCTACAGATTGCAAAATGTTATTGCAGTTATTGTTACTGGCAGGAACTCTAATGCCAGAAATTTGGAGAACCAGGAGATACCTCTTGAATCAAATGCAA